AAAAGGCTTCTCCGCTGTAACTTGTCAGCTCGGCATACTGTAGTACATTCTAGTTAAATGAAATAGACCTTCGCGGGAACGAGGTATAGGGTAGGCTACTCGCAGCGTCGCTTCGATCGAGTTGCCGCAAAATGGACCACTTGGGCAGCACCTGTTCCAAGCGGAACGACTTATAACAAATTTGCATAATCTTCTCTACTTATTTAGTACCTTTTGCGCAATCAAAGGGCGTTTGTCGCCTTTCGGCTCAGTGGGGGCATAAAATGGTTATCAGCTTGTACAAGCCACCTTGTATACACCTGTTGATCCTTCTTACCAGAAAGGTTCACTTGCATTACTTTGCAGCTTCACAAGATTTGACATGTCTTACCATAGTGAATTCTGCTAGTTAAAATGATCAAGCAAAGGTTCAAAATGCCCTCCCCCCAAAGCCGAGCGGCGCAGAGTGTTTTATTTGAACTGACTTTAGTAATCAAATACAACATTAAGGAACCTTCGCCGTAGTAGCACTGATGGCGGGTAAAGCGGTGACTCGGTTGAGCCAACCTTCTCAGGACTCGTTCTCCAGTACGTTGACGAATCTCACTGACACATCTTCGTTACCAACACCGGTCCAAGTCGCCACTGCTCTCACCTTGTTTATTGGTATTATTCAGGTAACCGTTTTCTCATCTCTACCATTCGGCGCTGAAACCTGAGCGGCGTTTTTCGGCCGCCAATTTGAGGGCCACTTTATAATGAGACCAGTTCAGGTAATGGTGGCGATATTCGGGCTGGACTTTGTTACCACGTATTTTTCTGACGAAGTTGTTGCTGGATTTACAACTGGTGCTTCTGCACATGTTTTCATCACACAGCTCAAGGATGTCTTCGGAATCACTGGACTCCCACGACGAGATGGCATAGGGAACGCGCTTTTAGTCAGTCTCAATTTTTAAAACATGAACTTGTGAAAAATATTTTTAAAGGGAAGATTTCGAGGCAGACGTGGTGTAGTGGCAAGTACACCTCATATCTCGGCGAAGGGTATGACTGCGTGCTCCCTTCAGAAATGGCGTAGGATGCGTTTGGGGCGGGATCTTCCATTAGAGACAGCCCTCCTTTCACCTTTCGCTCCACGGAAAATGATTACAGTTCCCCAGAACCAGGATTTTAGGCATCAAGAAGCAAAAGCCCGCCTCGTTTGTATAAAGTAGTTCAGCCACGCCATCTCCACATCTGCGGTCTCGTTTAGAAAAGTGGTAGTTACATGCTACATTAGTCTGCAAACAAGGGGGCGTGGAATGGAATGTTTTTCCTCCAGTCGATGCCGTCCTGACCCGGCAACCACTGGTGGGAAAGTCTGCTCCGGCTGCGTTCAGATCTCCACCCCTTCACACGCCTCTCTCGTTCTGCGGGAACATATTTAACTGAATATCTCATCCGAATACTAATACAATACATCTAATCAGATTTTCATCTATTTTTTACAAATGTCTTGAACATATTTGTAAGGTAAACATATTATTTACCTATACTTTTTCAGAAAGTCTACGATCTCTGCGCAGGAATCGCTCGAACGAATCTTGTCACCCTTGGGTTGTCAGCGTTGACGATTCTCATGCTACTACTTGGAAAACACGCGATAAATCCTTTCATAAAAAAGCGTCTCCATTGTCCTGTGCCATTTCCCATGGAACTCATTGCTGTGAGTGTTCTGTTGAAAGGTTTTGGGCGCTAATAACCTGGGTAATAAAAGAAGTCATCGGAACTTCTGCTCTTGAAATCGCTTCACCCACCCTGGAGTTCTCTTCCCCTTTGGGGCAAGGCGGAAGCATTCATCTCCATTACGGTGACTCTAGTTTTGTAAAGGAGTCCTTTAAATGCCCCTCCAAGGTTGTCAGCGCCCAATTTATTCTCTGCTTGAAATCCCACATTTCCATTTTGTACTGCTTTAGGTGGTCGTTGGGTCTTTGATTTCACAATTTGCTCGTCTCAACGCTAATTTCGCTGTCAAAACCGTGGGAAAAATTCC